GGCTCAGCTGATTTTTCAAACTCTTGAAACGCAACAGCATTATCCTTGGGGTGAGAAACGCTTCCCACATTGTTGTATGCTCTTCGAAGTGAGGATCCTCTGGTGATTTAGGATGGGGCCTGGTAAACCATCCTGGACCACACTTTCGACCGGCGAAAGGGGCCATGGTCGAATTGAATTCCTTCCTCCCTGCAAACATCTGAACGAAGTTTGCGAAGGTCTTTTGTAGTTCCAGCCCATCCTCAGTAGGAGTCAATAAGGCGAGCCTGGTGCCTTCAACGCGCCTTCTGGCTATCTCAGGAGCCTTTTCATTTATTTGAGTCCCCTGGGGTAGAAAAGACTCGAAAGTGGCATTCAACCAGAGTTGAAGTAGCCAGAAGGGACCGGCAAGCAGTAGGGGTGTTCGCGGTTCAGTTTGGATCGGTTTTAAGATAAAAAATCATCCGATCCAAATATAAATTTACTTGCGGTTCGGTTCGGTTTTGGATGATATATTAAAAAAATCCAATCCGATCTGATCCAATTTTATGCGATTTAATTTGGATCGGTTTTTGGATATCCAAATTACACATTATATTTTTATTAATATTATAAAGCTACAAATAAATCATAGATTTGATATAATATATAACATATAGTATATTAAAAATTAATATTATAAAATGAGAGTGGTTGATTATGATTGAAATAATAAAAAAAAATAAATTATACCAAACTAATAATTATTATTAAAAAAAATTATTATCATCTAATAATAATTTCACATAGCATATCATACTAATAAAAAGTAAATAAGTATAAAAATATATGTATGCGGTTTGATTTGGTTTGGATCGGTTTTGAAAAATTAATCCGAAATTCGATCCGAACTGATCGGTTTTCACAAAATAATATCCAAACCCATCCAATAAATTTCATTTTTTTGCGGTTTTCGGTTTTTTGGATCGGTTTTCGGTTTTTTATTTGGATTGGTTTGGATTTGAACACCCCTAGCAAGCAGCAGGCTGGCTCTATTTTCGATTACTTTTAATTGAGCCGCTCCACTGCTTATCGACTCGTACAAGTTCGCCAATATTAATTCGGCCAAACAGATGTTTTGGCCGTGATGAAGCTGAGTAGCAAGGGTGACCATCTTCTTCGTCACCTGCAGGGATTTCGTGCAGAACACGAAGCGCGACAGCCAAAGGGCTAGAAACGCGATGTGCTCCACATCAGTCACCGCAACCGTCGATTTGTCGTGGTAATGATTAGTGTAAATGGTGTAGGTGGGTTTGGTAGCAGAAAACCCAATCTGGTCTTCAGACATTTCCTCTGGGTCGAAGTAGTCCCCAGTTGGTCGAAGACCAGCAATTGTAGCCACATCGAAGAGAGTGGGCGTAACCATTCCACAAGGCAAGTGGAAGGTATAGTGAGTGTAGTCCCAAAACAGCAATGAAGCTACCAGCATGTCGGGACAGTAGTTAAGACCAGTTTTGGACAACATGACCAGGTCATAAATGCCCATGCCTTTCCAAATCGAAGCCTGTCACTTCTCCATCTTGTTGAGCCAAGCGGTATATTCTGGTGTAAGGCTAGGGCTAGATCGAAAAGCCCTAACCCCCCTGTTAAAAAACCTAAGATCTATTTTCTCTTTCGCAGGATCTTCAGTATCATCTTTCGCCTTCTTTGAGCACCCAATGGGTTTGAGTGCCTCATGCGCGGGGAAGAAACCCTCAATTTTTGTGGGGTCAGTAATGCATGTTGAAAGAGGGCCTGACATGGCAAAAACCTGGTTGGAATACCCAACGGGAATCAACAGTTGAGAGCCATAGGTTTGGCACTCAGCATCACCCATGGGTTCAGGAACCCTTCGCATTCCCATAGAATTAACTACCGGAGCAGTTGAGAAGGTTTCTGGTTGAGCAGTCTTGGAGAGAATGCTAGCTCTTGGGACATTGGGAGCACGAGTACGTGAAGCCATTTTTGGTTTAAATGAGGGTGAATGAAGAATAAAGATTACTGGGTTTGGAGAGGAAGAAGCAAAGGTCTGTTTGCAGAAGATTTCGTTCGATCGAAGGTTTGGATGCGAGAAAGCGTAAAGAGTCCAAATGAAGCACTTAGTGCTATTTATAGTGATTGGAAAATCACAGGGCTCGAGGTCATTTAATGCCACATACGGGAGTGGGGCACGTGGCACGCATTGGCGCTGTAACCGTTCTGAAAAACGGAAACGTTGCAGCATGCTTCCTCGATTTCAGAGAATGGTCATGATGACAGCGTATGAAAGGCCATCGTGCGTACGAAGTGCCTTACTGAAGTGACATCTTGGGAAAAGTTGAAATGATGATTTTTTGAGATTGTCAGTTGGTTGGTAGGAGACGAAAAGCGCACAAACTAATTTGTGGCTGAGAGTGAAGGACAGGTGTCGAATGGAATATCAAAGAATGCCTCTTTCTTCTAAGCGTCGAAATAAGACATTCTTGGGGGGTAATTTGTTGGCTCCTAAATTCGACACCCACGTTCTATTATCATATAGATCATTAATTATGAGTTAGAAGAGTTTCCTACACAAGAAGGCTTCGATCAACTGATCACATCGAAGGCTTATCAAAGAATGACAAGATACTTAGAGAAATTTCTCTAAGTTGGAATCATGTTGTTTTCAACGTCGAAGGAGCAACCTTTCGACCAAGGTCCCTGATGCCCAAGATCGAACGGTTTGAATTTTGAATTGTTGGAGGGAAAACGGTTCCCAGCAGTTACCAAGCGCAATGTGGAGTGGAAGTAGGCGTCGAGGGTTGTGAACGTGCCATGTGGTGTCACCACGAAGCGATGTAACTGCCCAGCAGTTACTTAGGATTTTTAGTATAAATACTAAGTATTCACGTAGTTATTAAGGGTGTTCATCATTGTATACAAGTCACTCATTTAGATTCAAGTACCCAGCGTGAGAGAAAGAATCATTGAGAATGTATGTGTGAAACACCATTTACCTTAATCGAAATCTTTTACATTCAAGCAATTTATCGCTTTCACTTATTTATCTCAGTCGAAGTCATTTATTTAACAAGCCTTTAATGCTTTTATTTACTTTATCAAGCTTTTCTCCATGCAATTTACTTAAAGTGTCTCTACCTTACTTGCGTTAATCACCATTAGGATTAGTCGAAACTCTCTATTTTAAAGCATTTAAACGATAAAAATCAGCCATGTCTTAGGATCAATCTGATCGATCCTGCGAGTCACCAAATAAGTTACCTTTTGGAAGATCAGCGGTTGTTTACCATTTTTCACGGTAAACACGGGGACACATGCATCCAGTATATCGTGACAACAAATAACACACTTTTGATGAGTTGATATCTCCCAGCGTAGCTTAGCAGTTTTGAAGTCCAATGTTTAATTTTGCTAGTGATTTTATCCACTAATGGATTACATTGATGAGCATTTAGCTTTTTACTTGAGAGAGGCACACCTAAGTATTTGAAAGGTAATTCTTCCACTAAAAATCCCGTAAGCTCCACTACATGCTTTTTCTCAGCTTATTTAACACCACCAAAGTAAATGTTACATTTCAAGGGATGATTTTTCAAACATGTGGCGTCAGAAAACTTGTTGAATTCATTCATTAGAATTTTTACAGAACATTTGTCTCCTCTAACAAACAGAATGAGGTCGTATACAAAGTTAATATTTGGGATTAACAGCTTTTCACATCGAGGGTGGTAAATCGTGACTTGACTGTCACGTTGGATTTTATTTTTTATTTTTCATTTTTAAAATACTAATTTGATTTTTTATTTTTAATTTCAATTTTATTTTTAAACAATTCAGATTTAAAAAATATTATAAAAAAAACAAAAAATATTTCTATAAGAAATTGAACTAAGGACATTTAAGACAAATCTTATACTGTTACCACTAGACTAGTATACATTATTAACGAATAATTCCATAATTTATAGTAATATTAAATAATTTTAAATTAAAAAAAAACGAACCTAAGTCTTTTTAGGTTAAATAGTAGTCACTTTACAAGTAGACCAATCAGTCTATTGTTAATGTAAGCGAGATTCATTTTACACTTCTATAAAAGAATTTTTTTTATTCCACTCTTGTAATATGAAGATTTCCTATCTATATCCCTTTTGTGCACTATTTCAAACCAGATTCCATTTATTAGTAACTTGTCATTCCAAGTGACTTTATTTAATTTTTTATTTATTATTGAAAATACACGTTGATTTATTTTATTTTTTTTACATTTTTATATATTATACTTTTTTTATTTTATATTAATTTTTTACTTTTTCTTAAATTTTTTTAATTAATTTTTTTAATAAAAATCTATTTATAAATTAATTATTAAAACATTACTTTAAAGTTTAAAATCCATGATCTTTTTACGAAGTCCAATACTTGAAAATAAAAGAGACTTATAAACATTTTTATTAATAATCTCAAATATATTCTATTAAGTCAACTAAATTGATAATTATACTAAGACACTAAATATAGAGGTCTAAATTCGAACTCATGACATCAGCTTATTCACGTAAAATTCAATATATGCTCAAGTACCTTCTCAATCTTAGTTTAAATATCAGCTTTAATAATTACACATTTTTTAAAATCGTCGGTGATTACATATGAAACGAAAACAAATTTTCAGTCACATGCGTTTTTTTTTTGGACAAAAAACATGTATATTTAGAATTCTTTTCAACACAAAAAAAAGTGAAAAATAAAAAAGAAAATAGTCAAACTTATTGAATGCATTTAATACTCTTAAATGCATTAAGTTAAAGTACTTCTTTATTTTATTTTGTCATTCAAAATAAACCTAATTTTTTATCTTATAAAATTCTTTTTTTTACTATGTTTAATGGGAGATGCATATTGAATATTAATAATATTCTTAAAATTAGCTTTTTTTATTATATTATATTATAATTTATTTTACTTTGTAATATATATATACTTGTACATGGTTACATATTCTTAAAAGTAACTTCAACTTGATGGATTTAATAGTCTTTGTAATTCTTAGTTTGTGCATAACATATTGCAAAATTGATGCCAGAAACAATTCTTTACAAGATGGAGGACATCATTTTATCCGATCTGATAGCCTCATGGTATGTGATCTATTGTCCCTTCTTAATTTTTTGTACACATGATTTAATTAATTGTAATTTTGGTTCAGAAAATTCAGCATCAACTGGACAGTAATTTTGATTGTGTTGATATCTACAAGCAACCTGCTCTACAAAACCCTTTATTAAAAAATCATAAAATTCAGGTATAATTGTTAGATAACTTATGAGATTAACTATCTTACTTAATTGTGATTTGAAAAACGATTCTTATATTGCATTGCTTAATGAACCTTGTTGTGTTTTCTCTTTATTGTAACTTATGTAGCTTTACCCAACCTTTGCAAATAATATCATGGGGAGTAAATTATCTTATGGTAAAATTGTGGATGGATGTTCTGTGGGAAAAGTGCCTATTTACAACAGAAGAAAAATATATCAAAAAAATATTACTAACTCATCTTCAAGATTACAAACGGATGATTTTCAGCAATATTCAAAAAGCTCTCCCGGCTATCATGTAAGTGATTATTTTTTAATAAAACACATTTTATATTAAATTTAGTAGTCCTACTTTGATTTAATAGATAATAATTTAATATATAATTTAATATTATATACATTTGAAATACTAGCTAAGTTCAATGATAAAGAGCTTTATTGAATGTGAATGCTATTATAATTATTAAAAATGCACTGTTATATATATTTTTATATATAAATGTTTTAGTATTATATATTATTTTAAAACCATGGGTTATTTAGAAGTGCAAGGAAAAAGGAGTGCAGCACAAATTTTGAAGATAGCTATTGTGAAAACTAAATATGATTTCTGAAAGTATAGAGAAAAGCTAAATAACAATAAAAATGGAGGAGAAAATTGTAGACACATTACTAATAGAGGATGGACTAGGCATAAACTAAGAGACCATATAGTAAGATTGATGTTAGAGTAACTTAGGATTAATTTGTTGTCCCAGATGTAGTTGAAGAAGAAATAAAAGATGCTGATGAAGTTGAGGAAACTGTCGATGAATACCTATTGGAAAGAGATAGGACACGAAGATTCATCAAGCCACCTTAGAGACTTTGGTATGCAGATCTTATAGCTTATGCTTTAATCTTTGCAAGTGAGGTTATACACAAAGAGCCTAGAGACCATAAGGAAGTTATGAGGAGCCGAAATAAGACTGAATGACTGAAGGCCATGGATAATGAGATGAAATCTCTTCATGATAACAACACTTGGGAGCTGATCAAGAAACCTACTGGAGCCAAGTTTAGTTAGTTGTAAATGAATTTTCAAAATTAAGGAAGGAATCGAAGGAGTGACGTCAAAAATATATAAGGCACAATTGGTTGCAAGGGGTTTCACTCATAAATAAGGTGTCGACTTCAATGATGTGTTTTCTCTTGTTGTGAAGCACAGGTCCATTTGAATGTTGCTTGCCATGGTGGCACAGTTCGACCTTGAACTCTAACAAATGGATGTGAAGACTTCTTTCTTGTATGGTGATCTAGATGAAATAATCTTGATGAGGCAACCTGAAGGGTATGTCGAAAAGGGAAAGGAAGATTATATGTGCAAGTTGAATAGATCTTTATATGGGCTGAAACAATCTTCTCGATAGTGGAATAGGAGATTCGAAAAATTCATGGCATGCATAAGTTTCATTAGAAGCCAGTTTGACCATTGTGTTTACTTCAGATTTCGTCCTGGTAATTCATTTGTTATTTTGTTGCTTTATGTTGAAGATATTCTCATAGCAAGGAAAAATGTTGAACATGTAATGAGGGGGAAGGTTGAACTTAATAAGGAGTTTGAAATGAAGGATCTGGGAGTTGCATCCAGGATTCTTGGGATTGACATTCAAAGAGATAGAAAGAAATCGAAATTATGCTTATCTTAAGAGGCATACCTACGGAAGATTTTCGATAAGTTTGGTATGTCGAATTCAAAGCCTATTATGACTCTAACAAACCCTCAATTCAAACTGAGTATAGATCAATGTCTCAGTATTGAGGTTGAAAGAGCTTATATGAATAGCATCTCATATGCTAACATAATGAGTTCTTTGATGTTGATATGGTCTATACTAGACCCGACATAGCATATGCAGAAAGTCTTATAAGCAGGTACATGGCGAGTCCTGGAAAGGCTCACTAGCAAACATTAAAGTGGATTTTAAGGTACATAAATGAGTCTCTGAATAGAGTCATAATTTATGGTGGAGCCTTGAGTGAAGATAGTAAAGTAATAATCGAAGGATAAGTCGACTCTAATTATGTAGGTTGTATGGATTTTAGAAAATCTATTTTTAGATATATTTGGTACAACAATTAGTTGGAAATCAACACTTCAGAAGGTTGTCACATTATCAACCACTAAAGCAGAATATATTGCTTTAACTAAAGTTGTGAAAGAAGCATTGTGGTTTGAAGGTTTTTCTAAGGAGATGAAAGTTCAAGGGAAAGTTATCATTGTTAAATGTGATAGTCAAAGTGCAATACACTTGTTGAAGAATTCAACCTATCATGAGCGAAATGAGAACATCGTTGTAAGGCTGCATTTCGTCAGAGGAGTAATCGAGCGTGGAAAAGTCCAAGTGCAGAAGGTTTCGACAGATCACAATGTTCTCCAAATTGCAAGTTTTTCCACTGTAAGCAATTGATAAAGCTGCATGAAGAAAGCTAGTTTTTTTTTATATTATAGAGTTTGTTCTAAGGTTGAGATTTATGAGATATTGGATCGAACTCTATTAGGCCAAGGGATAGCTTTTGGTTCGACAGGGAATATGCATGTCGCCGAAGTTAGCTCCCATGATGTTGTCGAAGACCTATATACTGTAGTCGAAGTGTGTTCTAGTATGTGGGTGTCGAAATGCTAAGATTGTTAGTATTTCAAATTGGACATATTTGTTATGTCCAATTGTTTAAGTTAGTTTGTACTCTAAGTTAGTTTGTAATGAGTATTTGGGAAAAAAACTCATTAGTTTAGTATGTTATGTTTATTATAAATAACATACTAGTCTACCATCATTGCACATTACAAATACTAATTTAGGGTGAAAGAGGTTATTTATTATTCTTGTAACACTTGTAATCTTGTTTAAAGAGAAAGTAAAGAATAACAATTAATAACCAATTCCTAATGTTCTTCTTGTTTTTCCATATTTTCTAAATCCTTGTGTGTTTCTTAATGATAGAGAAACAATTTAGATTTTATTTTCAAATCATCGTTTTCACAACTTTTTTTTTATATTTATTACGAAATAATATCAATATAAATAAAAAATAAATAAATAATAATAATAATAATATTATATGTTTTTGTATTTTCTAGTCCGTTACTCTTGATACAACAAGAAACATGATATTTCACGGAGCATCCGCGGGCATAGGCGCATATGATTTGTCGCTTCAAGCAAATCAATACAGCATGTCTTCAATATGGCTAGAAAATGGACCCCCAATGGAATTTAATAGCATAAAAGTCGGACTTGGGGTACATTACTTTTATTAATTTTAAACTTTTTTTTGATATCACGTCATTACATTCTATTAGAGAGAAAGTATGTGTCTCATAAAGAAAAATAATTTATTCTTCGATACTTTTTCACAAATGTGTTTGGTTTCATATTTCTATGTCTATTAATTTATGTGTATGTTATATAAAAAATACTCTTTTATAATATAACTACTCACATTAATTCTTTGTTGTGCAAGGTTCATCCAAGTTTATATGGAGACAGTCAACTGCGATTAACAGGTCATTGGACGGTAAGAATGTATATTTTATATATAAAATAATTAAAAAATATAAAATGTGATAAAAAATAGATAATTTGATTATGTTCAAGCTCATTTTGATATAAACATTCAGGCCGATAGTTACAAAAAAACTGGATGTTTTAATATTGTTTGTCCGGGTTTTGTGCAAGTCAACCCTAACAAAGAATATGCTCTTGGTTCTGTCTCGCATCCTACTAGTTCGATTGGTTCAACATCAAAATATATTGGTTATATCAAAATCAAACAGGTAAAAATTTGATTTTGAATGTATTTAAATATATTATAATATGTTTTTAAAAATCATTACAACAAAAGTTACAATTTTTTAAATAGCATTTTATTTAACGTATATAGTGTGTTATTAATTTTAAATTTCTAATTTTATGCATAAAAATAGTGATAATTAAATTAATTGAAAAGAGTCTTAATTAAATAGACGACTTAAAATATTTATAATTCATTATGAGCTATGTTTATGAATTAATCTTATTATGATTGGTTAATACAATCTCCGAGTAATACATCTAATTATATTGTTATTTGCTTAAATATATCTAGGATCAAACTACAGGTCATTGGTGGTTAATTATTCAAACTACAGAATCAATATATGCTGGATATTGGCCAAAAGAATTATTCACTCACTTAAGCAAAGGGGCGTCTTTAATAAGATTTGGAGGTCAAACTTATGCACCATCTAATATGGATAGTCCTCCGATGGGTAGTGGGAGATTGCCAAGAGAAAAATTTAGGAACTCGGGTTTCATGGTATTAGTAAAGATTATTAACTCAGAATATAATGAATTTGATATAAAACCCGAAGATGTGAAGCGATATACCGATACCAATTCTGATTGTTATGACTTATGGTACAAGGGTTATGAAGGATCTCAATATAAACAAGCTTTTCTTTATGGTGGTCCAGGTGGACGAAATTGTGACATATGATTGTTTTGTCAACTTTATTAAGAAAATTGTTTCGGAATATGAATAAAGATGACTTTTCTTTTTTACTAAACGGTGAAGAATACACTGTGTATTTATAGATATTATGATCTCTAAAATAACTAACCTTAAGTAATGTATTTTATAGATCCCCTATAACCAACTCTTAACTACTTACATTGAGACATGATAGTTATAACCATAATTAACTAAACTAACTGGCATGCATGATATTAAACTAAGTGTCTTTGATATTATGTAATATCCCCCTAAATGTTGGAGGATGATATATGTTTATCATCTTCAACTTGGATAAAAGTGTGTATAATGGCTGAGGTAGTAAAAGCTTAATGAAGAAATCAACCAGTTGGTTTTTGGAGGAATTTTTAAAGTTGGTGATCAAAGAAGCTCTCTTGAATTTGGATATCTTGGGTGAGAATATATACAATAATGGTCTAGAAGGGGGTTTAATAGATCCTCTCCCAATTAGGCTTTTTTCAAAAACAATTTTAGATTCCATGTATGAAATTAGAGATTTTAAAAAAGGCGCAGAAACAAAACACAAAATAAGAAAGCTTGGAAGCATCTCAATGAAATAATCCATATGAAATAGTACATGATGTTCTATATGCATTTGATTTTTTAAATGCAAGTCAATCACAAGACTAAACAAGTAGCTTTTTAATAAAGCTTTTTTTAAAACACATAGCTTATAGATTCTAACAAGACATGAATGAAGTCATGATACCTCAATAAGATTGATACACCACAAACCTAAGCTTATACACTAAATCACTATAAGCAAAGTTTATCTTATATGGTATACAATTAATTCAGACATGCAATGGCGCAATCACATTACAATGGATACTAGAAAAGTAAAAGAGTTAAGGGAAGAAGAAAAGATAGACAACGATATATAGTGGTTCGAATGCCATCCTCGCATTTCCTACTCCATTCTTCAATGTGTTAAAAACCATTGAGAAATAATCACGATCTTCCACTATTTTGATAAGTTTGATTATAATGTTTTGATTACAACAAACTATCATATGATAATTCACTCTGTTGATGTAGACACTACAATCTACTAACAAAAGTCAAGATCACTAAAGGACCTTGATCCAATAACCTTTGCTACACAGAATAACTCTTCTCCAAGTATTCATATGTGGAAATCCACCTAATTACACTGATCTCTTATCTGAGCGATTTTCATAGCCAAGCAATACTGGATAACTCCCAACTTTATCAGCGAGCAATCTTTCTCAACCTCCACCGATGGATAAATTTCCATCTCTGCCTTACGGAAAATTGATACTTGATCTCACTAAAGTCTTCCTTGGAGTATATGGAAACTCTATTCTTAGTGAATCACATTGAACACCAAATTTCATCCATGAAATGATACATGCGCCTGTTACAAACAACAAACTTCAATAAAAAACATTAGCAACCCTAATGTTCCACTAGTCTCCATTAACACTCAATCTTTATAAATTAGGGTCCTCAAAATAGAAACAAGACTAAGGAGGAAGATGATGAACAATGCCAGAGTATCTCACAGTAATCTACAAATACAAGGTGTTAGTCAATTGTTTTAGATAAATGTGAATGAAGAACACATACACAAGGTTCTCTAAAGTTTCAAGATGGATGGGTCTTGGGTTTGATTGTTATAAATAAATTTATTAACCATGAACTCATACAATATTAATACCCCCCCTCTCTAATTAACTCAAACACAATAATTAATTGCACAAGAGCAAGATGCAACAAAAGGAATTAATTCAATCATGAATTCATGGTCAAGAAGTTGTAATGGTGAAGAATAGAAATAATCATGATTATATGGATGAACACACAGATAATAGAAGGCTAAAAAACAACTTGTCTCTATGGGTATCACCATAGGTTTCACACTTGTTGCTTTCACCGGAAAAAATAACTATTTAAATAAGAGATGGAAAATGGGAATTTTTAACACGTGATTTGAATCAAGAAAGAATTGTGATTCGAATCAATCTGAACATGCCCTAAAGGGGAACTTTTAAAGCTCATGATTCAAATCAAATGAAGCTATAATTTGAATCAAGTTCAAAATATGATTCAAATCAATATTTCTAGAAACTTTTTAAAGGTGTTTGATTCGAATCAGAAACAACACATGATTCAACAATGTTTGGTTGGTTGGATGGCATGGTGGACGGACTTAGAGCTGTCGGGTTGAACCATATTTTTGTGGATCATGTTTGCTGTAGGTTGTCTTGTATTGTTCATCCTCCATTTTATTTATTCTTCTGGTTGTTGGTTTCTTGGTGCATTTGGTGGAGTAGAAATAATCTTGTTTTCAATAACAAGGCTTGGGTTGTTAGGGTGATTCTTAACCGGATTAAATCTTTTGGTTAGGATTGGTTTTCTATCTTAGTTAAAAGAGGGGTAGATATTGATAAAGATAAGTGGTTTTCTTCTCTGTTGGAGTTAGTGGGGGGTTTAGTTTCTTTGTCATGATTGGCTTTTTCAGGGTTTATCCTCCATTGTTTTGTTTTGTATTGGGTTGCACCCGTTGTGCTGTTTAATACAAAGTTGCTTATAAAAAAACACATGATTCGAGTCAACTATCAAAACATCCAAATTTAAAAGGTTCTAACTTGTGATTCAACCTACGCCTGTGGAAACAAAAAATAGTAATTACAAGGGCTCAAAAAGGAAATGCCAAGTAAGAATCAAGAGAATATCATGATTGAAATGAAAAGAGTTCTCAATGGTACAATCTAATGATAATAGCCTAAGAAATTACACATTAATTCAAGTGATAAAAGCGTACAGGCACATATATAAAATATACAAATACGCAAAACTATCAATCAATAGTCAAATTGACAGAAACATCAAAACACAAATACTTAAGGCATATAAAAGATACCACAAGATACTTTGGACTTTCAGTCTCCCCCTTTTTTATGTTTGGAAAATATGTGAGATTATTGTTGATGAAATAAACATAGTATTTGAAATTTGTTTGATTGGTCATAAAGAATCCGGTAACTTAGCGTACACTACTTCTTTTAATTTGTACAAGTAACTCCCCATGAATTAAACACTTAATGCACCTAAATATCGACAATATATCGACCACTTCACCCCTTTGTCATATATCAAAGAGGAGAGAAAAGGATAATCACAAATTGAAACCAGGATAGCACAAAAGCCACAGTAATAAATATAAAATCTAAAGTGAATCACAAGCACATACATCATAAAATTGCATGTTTGAATTAACACAAATACGTAATTTGAAGGATATAACAAGATAAGGATAACAATAGAGCAAATAACATAAATACCAATAATACGTGAAATATACCCAGATAAGTCACATGGTACATGATCAAAGTACGATCGGGGGTTCACAAAATATAATGTTAATCCAAAATGCATAATTAAACTCAAATTATGCTAAAATTCCATGTATTGAAATGCATGAAATGTAACATCATGGTAAATCAATAGGAAAATATCAGTAGGATCAAATGAAGAGGGAGGTGGTGCAACACCAGTTCCATCCGAAAATGGAGTGGAAAAAATTTGCTGCAACATCAGTAGATGAATGATGGAAGATGAAATTATTACCACTAAGGTAATCAATAGTAGTCTTCAATGCTTGAATCTGAGTTGTCATACGTCCCTCAGCAGCTTGAATTCCCTCTTTTATCTCAACTCTCATCCTAGACCTATTGTCCTCATTATCAAGATAAATCACATCAATGTGTGCCATAATCTTGTCCTCCCTAACCTAACTATCAACCAATAGATTCTAGAGCATGTCATCAAGGAGCACCTTTTCATCAGTAGATGCAGAAGAAGAAGTATGAATCTCATAAGTAGTAGCAGTAACATTAGCTCTCTTTCCTACCTCCACAACATTATCGTCATATAATTTTCAGCTCGACTTCTCCAGGTAGTAGTAAAAGCCATATGTGTCTTTGTAGTATTGCATTTTGGATACCATAAAGTCATCCTTACAAACTAGAGCTCCTATTAAATTCTCTTCTTTGGATTTAATGCCATTCAGTTCCAAAATCATCTAAATAAAAGATGAAAGGAAAATAGGTTGGGTTGGGTTTTCTATACAGTGAATCATTCTATCATTCATCAATCTAACATAGTTAATTCGTTCATCAATGAGACAGCACATCAGGTAGAGGTCAGAGTCATCAGCTCTACTCAAATTCTTTGGTTTCCTGTACAAAATATTAATCATAATCTAGTGTAACAATATCATGTCAAAATTTACCTGACAGATGGGAAAATTTACAATGCTCATATCAACAAAAAACTTGGAGATAAACATCAAAAATTGAGTACAATTGTATCCAGTAAAATTTTTGTAATTCAAATCAATGGGACCACCACCATATTTAAAATCAAGATACTTCTAAAAGTCACTGAACCTTGTACTTATTTTTCAGAGTACCATCATCAGATGATTTACTAGCTTGAGTCTTACTTCTGGAATTCTTAGTAATTGAGTAGGTGAGAGAGATGCAGAAATAGGAAGATTCCTTTATTGCTTTTCAAATCTTCCCTTGGATTGGAGTTGAGAAGCCATTATGATGATGATGGTTAACGAGTGATCAAGATGATGATATTATGTGAAATAGAGTTTTGAAATTTTCTAAGAGGGTTTTAAAAAACAAGAATGATAAATGAAATGAGTTTGAAAAAAGAAACTGAACTGAAAAATGGGTATTTACGTGACTTTTCAGATCATGATTCAAATCACGTTTAAAAATTGATTTGAATCAAGCGTTTTATTATTAAGTGAAAGAAACATTGACTTGAACCACGTTTAAAGTATGATTCAAATTAAATCCAACAATCCAAAATCTCATATCCTTGATTTGAATCACAGGTTCAGTTCAAATTTCAATTATTTGAATCCTAAATTTTAAATTTAAATAAATTGGAAATTTGAGACTTGAAACATTTTTCACTTAAAA